GCTGCCCTTCAGATCTGGAATTGAACCCACATCTGTGGTTTCCAGCCAAACAAAAGACAGGCATATGAGTTGAACATTTACCTCAAGTAGATACACTTCTTGGAGAGAACAATCATGGGAGAAAGAAGGGCTGCTTATGCACAGGGAGACAGCTCAGGGGGCAGGAGTCCATGGTAGGATGGACACAGGGAAGCGATAACTATGGGGAGGAGAGCTGTTGCATTGTGGTAAACTGTGGTCAATGTCATGAGACAAAGTATATGTCAACTGCTGTATGGAAAGAAAATTTGCTCTGTAAACCTTCACCCAAATCACAATTAAAAAAAAAAAAGGAAAGTTGTTCCTCAGAGTTGTATAGGTTCACTGTATTTATTCAATCTGTACGGCAATGCCAATCAAATAATGCAAGAAGCTGGATTTTCTAAGGAAGAATGAAGCTTCAGGATTGGAGGAATACTCATTAACAACCTGCAATATGCAGATGACACAACCTTGCTTGCAGAAAGTGAAGAGAATTTGAAGTACTTACTGATGAAGATCAAAGACTTCAGTATGGATTACACCTCAACTTAGAGAAAACAAAAATATTCACAACTGGACCAATAAGCAGTATCTTGATAAATGGAAGTTGCCAAAGATTTCATTTTACTTTCATTTACATCAATGTCCATGGGAGCAGCAGTCAAGAAATCAAATGACGTACTGCACTGGGCAAATCTCTTGCAAAACACCTCTTTAACGTGTTGAAGAGTGAAGAAGTCACTTTGAAGACTAAGGTACACCTGATGTAAGCCATGGTATTTTCAATCATCTCATACGCATGTGAAAGCTGGACAATGAATAAGGAAGACTGAAGAAGAACTGATACATTGGCATTATGGTGTTGATGAACAATATTGAATATACCATGGACTGCCAGAAGAATGCTAAGAATCTGTCTTGGAGGAAGTACAGCCAAAATGCTCTTTAGGAGTGAGAATGGCTAGACTTTGTCTCTTGTACTTTGGTCATGTTATCAGGGGGGATGAGTGCCTGGAGAAGGATGTCATGCTTGGGAAAGTGGAGCATCAGCAAAAAAGAGGAAGACCTTCAATGAGATGGATTGATACAGAAGCTGCAATGATGGGCTCAAGCACAGCAGTTATTGTGAAGATGGTGCTCCATTGAGCAGTGTTCTTTTCTTTTTTACATAGGGCTGCTATAACTCAGGATTGACTCAACGGCACTAACATTAGTCAGAACCAGCTTGACTGCACCTAACAACAGTAACAGCAATATATACTGTGTGTTTGTATGTGTGTATGCATGTGTATAGTAGAGACAGACATACGTATTTTAGTGAATAATTTTAAAAAATGTCTTTGATATATATGCCCTTATGCTTTCAACAATTTATCCATCTAGAGATGCAGAGAACTGGGGCCTCCTGTGGGATGAAAAGGAACATATGCAATATATTATCTGGGACCAATTATAGTAAATTCTTATAGCATAGTCTTGGCCAAGTCTATGAACTCCATGAGGGCAAAGAGCATGTGTGTTTTATTGGCTGTTTTATCCTTAGTGCCAAGCACAGTGTTTGTCATTTGACAGATGTTTTACAGCTATTTATTAGATAAAAAAACAGAATTAATATAGATAACATAAGGAAATAGAAAACCAGAGATTCTAAATATATTTTTTACTCACTCAATGCAAGCTATTTACCACTGTAATAGTAACATTTTTTATCTTTTCAGCTTTAAAATAAAATAAAATGCATGGCTGT